TCAAATGGTTACAAACTCCTCCAAGATCATTTCAGGCTGGGCATAAGAAAGAACTTCTTTACAGTCCAAGCCGCCAAGGCCTGGAACAGACTGCCGCCAGAGGTGGTGCTAGCACATACTCTGGACTCCTTTAAGAGACATTTGGATGTTTATCTTACTGGGATCCTTTGACCCCAGCTGACCTCCTGCCCATGGGACAGGGTGCTGGACTCGATGATATTCTGAGGTCCCTTCCAGCCCTAATGTCTACGAAATTTATGAAAATTCAGTGGCGGGCAGGCTGCCTGCCGGCTGTCCGCACCGTGGAAAACCCTTGTGCCCCAGCCTGACTCTCTGCAGCACACTGAACCCGGTTGGAGCAGCCTCTGGGTGGTGTGACCCGGCTCAGCATTCTGTGGTTCCATGCACATGTTCAAATGGTGTACTGGGAGCAGTAAATGCTGGCGCAATAAGCGCTTGAGTTTATTCCTTTGAATTAATTGCCCATGTAGACGTGCCCACTGTCATTTTATCACAGACCAATATAAAATCCTTGGCTTTGTGCAAGTTTTAACTTTAAATATTATATGAAAAATCAGGAAGGTAAAATCATAGTTCTTCCATTTCGGTTCTCAGTTTCTTATGTCTTATAGCTCAGCCTTCTGCCTCTGGAAATTTCTCTATGACTCTCAGTACTATATGCATGTTAACCAGTGGTTTATCCTGGATGTAGATTGTGGGATTATGCTTTAACCTGTATTGACAGAAAGTTGTGTATAGAAGGGAGAGATGCATGCTAGCAGCAACTCTTAAAGACTTTTTTTTTTCTTGAAGCAGAAGGAATGTCTTTGGGAGGACACTGATAGTATCTGTTACACCAGTACTTAAGGCACCAGACTACTCCATCTCTATGTCTGCCTAACCTATATTTTTTCTCTCCCCCTAAAACGGCATTTGCTACTGCCACTGCCAGCCCCATAGGACTGTTAAAAAAAAAACATACCTAGTTTCTATGACGACAGGTTAGAGAAGAAGGTTCCTTGTAGGAGTGCACTGATAGAGATTTTGGGGGTCGATACAGATAGCCAATTTTTAAGGAGGCATATCGGTCAATACTGATCCTATTTCTGATACAGGTGCATGCAGCTGGTTAAGTCTGTTGTGATGGATGGGGGTGCAGATGAAGGCCCCTTGCCCCTGCAGTGAGACTGAGTGGGGCTGGGGCTGGCGCCACCCAGTCAGGGGGCAGGGTGCAGAACAGCTGTGGGTTGTCTGTGGGGTGCAGGGTGTTGGCAGCTCCCACTGCTGCATGCATTCTGGGAGGGCATGGGGGAGGTGTACCCCCAGATTTACATGGGGTAGGGAGGGCCGGGATGCCATTGTGGGCTGGGGCTGGGGCTGTGCTGGGCTCTTCCCAGCACGTGGGGGCTGTGCTGAAGGCTATGGGCAGTGGCGGCAGCTTTGGGAGGGGGGCTACAGGTGGGGAGCCGCTGCCTCCTCCCTGCGCCCCCTGGTCAAGCCGCGGCTCCATCCCATACCCCACCCTACCCCAGCTTGGCAGCACTAGCCTCAGCCCCTGCCCCACTCCCTCCTTCACCACAGGGGCATTGATCTGTCCCCCCATGCCCCTTCCCTCCTACCACAACAGACTTACCAGCTGGACGCAGCTCTTCAAGCGGCTGGCCTGTGCTTCTCACCACGTGTGTGCTGTGTTGCTCCTGCACACGTGCACAGGGCATTTATCGGCCAAATTACCGGCCACATCAGGCTGATTTAAGAAACAATCGATTTTCTTTATATCAGTGCCAATCTGGTATCAGACCAATGTATCGGTGCAACCTCTAGTTCCTTGTGTATTTTCCTGTCTCTTGACCAATCAGCCAAGTGATAAGGGATGTTCTGATGGTAGGTTCATTTGTCTTTTTCAAAATGAAAATGAAATGGATTACACAAATATGTTTGGAAGGCAATTTACAATCTCATAGTAGTAAACATGAGATGAAGCTGTTTTAAAACAGGCAGTAATTTTGAAGACCATCAAAATGTTCTGCTTGGAGTACTGACTTAAATGTATCCTGAAGCTAGCTTCCACATGTATGATTTAGTTGGATTTGTTTGTAGTGCGTTGGTTACTTCTTTTGGAAACTGCTATCTCTGCGTAACACTGTTTCCTTTTTGGAAGAAGAAAAATGTTTAGCCTTTACAGCTGTAAGAATAATTTGAGAGATGCTTTTTCTCAATGGGGGTGTCATAGCTGTTAACCTCATGTGGAGCCTGACCAGGAAGTGGCTGCAACAGTTCTGTCTACATTATGTTCATCTGATAATTAAGGTGTGTGGGACAGTTTCAGCTGGAAACACCCAGAGAAATCTTCCACCTGGCAGCAGCCCAACAGCCTGGACTATCCCATGCTCTGTTTTGAAAAGGAGCATGGTGGACTGGGCAGGAGTGGATACTCCTGCCTGCATTAGGTTTATCCAGTAAACAATGCAGGCAAGAGCACCCACTCCTGCTGCTGCTTAATCAGACTCTGCATGAGGTCTGTGGTGGTAGCAACACCCTGATTGAGAACCACTGAGCTAAGCTGAGACAGTAAAAAATTAGTTCTCAGTGAGGGTGGTGCTAAATTCAGAAAAGTTGTGAAGGGGTAAAAAGGTTAAGGACCACTGTGTGAAGATTATAAAATGCATGATACTTTGTTTGTCTGGGTCTGCTGAAATAATAGCTCTGAGAGAGGTTCCTGATTTGGGGGAATATTTTAGTTGCCCTTAGTTCTGTTCTATGAAAATTTGTCAAAGAATTTAACAGTATATTACTAGATTCATGTAGTCAGAAGTGGTCAGAAATGCTTGAGATTGCAAGCACATTACATTATACTCCATTTCATCCACATACCTCAGTTCTTCATCCACTTGCACACAATCAGTGTCAAGATAGCAGTTGATATTGTTTTCATCTTGCAAATAGCTTTTAGGAGGTTTCTAGAGAAGCTTATCTTAGCTTCTTTGGTGTAATTACCAGACTGATGAGTGTATGTTCTGCCCTCTAAGAGGTTTAATGCTTGGTAGAGTCATAGTAGAGAATCAGCCAAGAAGTGACTTAATGTTGAGCCATTTGCCTATTGGGCCTTCTTGAATAATTCATGAAATGGGCGCTTCCTGCCATATATATAGGTTATGTGAAAAATTGATATTTTCAGAAACTGTATTCCTGGAAAAAAACATTGCATTAACAATAGTACCTTCTAGATATAAACTCTTCTGCAACTTAATTGACCCTGAGGCTTGTGCACTTTTTCTTTGGGAGACAGAACTCCCATTGAGGTCAATTATTTATGGTGAGCCCACAACAACAGGGTTTATTTATGTGTCTCTGTTTAATATTTTGTTTGGTGTACATATTTTACTAGGCAAGTAACTGACATAGTGTTCTTAAAGAGTAGGTTTTAGTAGGTAGACAATTTGAAGAAGCAAGTTTGGTAATCATGGATTATCCGTTTGTGGAAAATATAGAAAATGTCCTGTTTACCCTTTCATAATAAGTTAAGATGAAGACATTCTGTAAAATTTAAACGGGAACAAATTTGAAGCCAGAAAATGAAATTATTCTAAGCTTCACAAATTGACTTTGTGGAACCCATTAGTGACTGGATGTTAAGGAAGTTTTGAAATAGTTTTACAATCATTTTATATTTCTGAAGTATTTTTCTGTCGTCTTGCCTGAAAATGCCACACAACCAGAAAATGGAATCTACAAAGTTCTGAGAGAGGCACTAAGTAAAAAGAGAGGAATATTTTCTCTTTCAATTACAATAATTTTAGGTTGATCAAGATGAGAGAGCAAGGGCATAGAGGGTGGGGCCGAGGAATGCCAAGTATCATTGCTTCAGGCATCATGACCAAAAAATTCCACCAAGGTATGCAGGGAGGTTAGGAAGACGACATACGATCCTACCTATCATAAGTAGACAGTAATCAGATGTACTTTCATTCTGCAGCAGCCACTGGCACAGTACACAGCAGGTTAGTAGTTTTTCTGATACACTTACGTTCAGCAGTCTTGCATGGCCATACACTCACATTTTCACTTATATTCATCTCATCCTCAGACAAAAAGAGAAATCAAAGATGATGTATATTTTTTCACTTAGCCACAAGGAGTCTGCCTCACTAACCTGTTGTGATAGAAGCCAGGTACAATTTTTATAGTGCTAGGGTGCTGACAGTGGCAGTAGCAAATCTACAGGTTTATGGAGGAGAGGGTAAAATGTAGGTTAGACAGACAGGTGAAGTAGTCCAGTGCCTTAAGTAATGATGTAACAGATACTACCGTAGACCATATGATTGTTCTCAATTATTTTAAATTGTGTCTTATAAATGCTGTCTTCTGGCAACCAAAGTTTACAGCATATCTGTTATGCTGTATATAATATCCTGTCAGCATTTCTGTTCATGACTCCAAAAGGACTTAAAGCTTGGCTCTTGAAGAATAATTCAGTGTAGACCGATTTAAAAGAAGTTATTTTTCCCATCAATGCTATGAGTTAAATACATTGGTGTCCTTATTGTACCTCCTAAAATAACTGCAGTGTTTCATCAGGATTTCTGTTCTGCTACAGTCATCCAATAAGTAAGGTGTTTTTGAAGGCAAGTATTTTAAAACTAAAATGAAGATCTAGTTTGCTTGATTTAGACAGCCTATACTGTACTTCCTTTTAGAAATGGATTTCCTATGTATTTGTACTGTTCAGACTTATTGAAAAATGTACAGAACATTATAAATATGATTTATTTTAGTGCCCATATAACAGTTTAAAAAAATCAAGTATATTCTTGTATTTTGAAATTTGTTCCGTTATCAATTTAAAACATTGCTTACATGGCATACACTGATGTTGTTACCATATGCCCATTGTTCTGCTTTGTTTTAATTTTGTCTGTGTTTTACCCCATTCAGTGTTATCAAACAGGTTTGCATATGGGTGTCCATAAAGGACCCAGAGAGCATGTTGCACGGTTGTCATGGAACTCGTCAAGTAGATTGCATGGTGTATACAGAAAATGTAAAAGCCTGTTTTAATCTCAAGTGAGGAAACTGAGATGGATGAATAGATGATTATAAATTGGCCAAGGTTTTAAAATAATGTATGATTGAAGTTGTTTTTCCCTAATTTCTGTAAGGTGGTGCCTTCAGGAAAAATGAACCGAGTTGTACCTCTCTCTCTTCTCCCCATATTTCACTAAAAGCCTAATGAAAATGAAAGGTCAATCAATGTTAGGTTTGCAGAAGTGATCAGTGTGATACCACTTCTTTCTTTGGCATGATTTGGAGATCTGTAAAACAGTTTAGAATGTTGACGTTTTTTAAATCTCATCTTTGGGCGATGGAGGGTATTCGCACGTTAGACTTACTGTTCCAGGTTGTGTGCAGTTACTAGTAGACATCACTGCGGCAGACACTTGGGTCTGCTTTTCAAGGTTTTCTTTCCTTTCTTGCCATTGTAACAGTTAGCAAGCAAGAAATTAGAGTTTAAACATCCTGTTACGTAGTTGAGTCTCATCTCATTCTTTGAATCCTCTTGAATTAATACAAGTTTATGTAATCCTTTTTTCAATATGCGTATATATTAAGGTGTATTGTATTGATAGTAGGTTCCTGCTGACTCTGCATCCTTCAAAAAAACTTCACTTCCAAGCTCTTCATTTCTCCGCTCAATTTTTTTCTGAAGCTTTAATCTGTTGTTGAACATTGGTTTCAGGACTATTGCACTCTCTCTCATTCTATCCTACAAGCTATTGCTGTTCTCATTAATAATATTAATCAAAAGTGTGAATGGCACAGTATATAAATCACAAAGGTTTACAGTATTGCCTGTCATCTTGCTATATTTTTTCCTTTATCCACTAATGATGATGGAACAGTGGCTCCTTTTTTTTTTTTTCTTCAGATGTACTTCCAATAGAGGCAAGTACCAGAAAGTTTGTAGAGGTATCTTCTGTGTCAGTTTAGCTATATTTGAACTGAAACTGATTTGCTTTGTCACATTACTTTCATGATTACCTCACTAATCTGGGGTTTATTCCAACTACAGTTTAAAAAGCTACAACACTCACATGACTACTTTTTTTTGTTCCTTTTCCTCTTTTAGAATTTACTGAGCAATATAGTTCTATGAGTTAAAAAAGAGGAGTCCATGAAGTCTTCTTTTCAAGCTGCTCTTACACATTTGAGTTGATCTCTTAGCAGTAGACTGTTTGCACGGGAACATAAGACTGAAAGGGTGCTCTTAGGTCATCAAGTCCAACCCTGTGCTTATCGTAGGCAACCATGTCACATAATCCCTTTAGAAGTGACAGACTTCCATTAGTTGATTAAACAGTTAATTCAAGTGTCCATTCATGTTGCCAGTAAAGCTGCTTTTCAAGGACTCTAAGCAGCTTTTCAATTTCTAAATCAGTCAAAAATTTTCTTTTGCAAACGGTTTTGTATTTATAGTGAAAGCAATGTAAAGCTACAGCACATTACACATTCTGCACCCTGGGAAATGTGATCTAAATATTGGGGCAGTTTAGTCCTTTGTAATGGTTTAAGTCAAATAAATTGGAGCTGTGACAGGGCACATAGTCGGTTGAGCTATATAGAGCATACTGTAAATTATTAACTAGGCCAAAGGTCACTGGCCCAAAGGTTAATTTATGTAATAGTTTCACTTCTGTCCCTGCCCTCTACATTTATTGTAAAACCAATATAAAATTTGCTCAGCAGAGCATTGCCTTCCCTCCCCCCAAACAAAACAAAGCAAGGACACAGGTATAAACTCTGGGGAAGAATGGAATTAATATCTACCAAATCTATTGAGTTAACATTTCCCATAAGCAATGCAAATATTAGCTATCTAATAACCAAGAAAATTTAAATCCATATAAGGAGAAGAGGTTCAGTTTAAATGATTCACATATCTGATAAATGACACAAGTGCCTAGCATTAACCTTTTGTTCTCTTGGGTCCTGTCTCTTGCCCCTGATTGGCAGAGAGGCCCTGGGGGGAAGGAACATGAGGGCAGTTGCCATTTTGTCTGCTGCCCTTTGTGCTGCCCTGCCAGCTGGTACCTTCTCCCAGCAGCAAGGACTGCTAGCTCCCACTAGGAAGCCAGCATTTTATTTTTATTCAGTTTTTTTCGTTGAACTCACACATTCTGAAAACAATCCTGTATTTTGCAGTTCCTGCGAATTTGCAAAAACACAAATTAAGTAGGTCCCTACTTCTGGGCTGTGCGTCAAAAATCAGATTCATTTAAAAATCATGGGATTAAAAAAATTGTGTGGCTTTGGTTTCTTTTTGTGTTGTTTTGGTTTTGGTTGTGGGGTTTTTTTTGTTTGGGGGTTTTTAAGTCTCTGTCTTGTGTGCTACCTATGAATGTGTGAGGGAATGAGTGTTGTGAAGCTTTCCTAAAATTTGAGTCAAATGATTTTGCTCCTTGCTGCAAGAACACTCTACAGATACCCGAAGATTCAGAGCTTCCAGATTCTTGCCAAAATCCTGATACTTTACTTTTCTTTCTAGACTTCAGCAAGGCCTTTGACACCGTCTCCCACCCCATCCTCATTAAAAAACTAGGCGACTGTGGCATTGATGCCTACACAGTCAGATGGATTGCAGATTGGCTCAAGGGTCGTACTCAGAGGGTGGTGGTGGACGGGTCATATTCA